CATGAATCATCGCCCATACGGTAAACCGAGGTTGAGGGGCAGATTGTACAATATGAAGACCCTGAATTAAGAAAAATGTTAATTGCGTGTATAACAAACACATACTTCGGAGAACATCAGAAGTGGTCCTCGCAGATAGATTATTCATTTCAGCACACCGGAGCAACAAGCAGCCCGCAGGGGGGCAGGCCGCCATCAGAAGGCTTGTCGCCATCAGGCAGAAAAAGGAGTGTCACTCACCAGCACGCCAGCGGTCCCACTGCCAAGCGTGTCAAACCCTGAAGAGACACACCAGGCCAAAATAATGACTGTGAGAAACTGCTCTCCACATCCAAAAGATGGCTGCAAAACTTGGTGGTTGTAGAACAGTGTTTTTAAATTGCGTCTCCTGGGTAAGCCGCCGTTAAAACTATTAGAGCATAAGCACCATCTTGACAAATACTCTTCTGAGGCATGTTATATTATTCCCACACATTCTGGCCAAGTAAATCAAAACGCCTGAATGCTAATAAAGCAACTGGCGCCTACCTCACTTCATTTGACTTAATTAAATCGTTATCGGGGGTTCAATTAGACTATTGACGTCGACAGTAAGGACCTATCCGTGTGCTGTAGGGCAGTGGTCCCCAACCTTTTTGTACCTCACGGACCATTTTAATGTCAGAAAATATTTCGCGGACTGGTCGAGAAGGTCCGGCGGAATAACGGGGGGGTAGTAGTCGTTGCGGGCGGAACGAACGACGGGAGGGGGTGTAGTAGTCGCGCGCTCTGTGTTCGCTGGTGGGCGAAACTGCCGTGCACGTGTAAGAGGACATTTGTAAACGTGAAGAAAAACGCCTGGTGACGCGTGGGGAATATGTCAGAGCACATAATTGCACATAAAAGCCGGTCAATTTTCAAAATAAAACATTTTCGGAAGAAAAAATATATATATTCTTTCTGTGGTGCAGCCCGGTACCAAATGGCCCACGGACCGGTAGCGGTCCGCGGCCCGGTGGTTGGGGACCACTGTTGTAGGGTATGTAAATGATATTTGCGGGTTCCGTCTGTGTGTGCGCGTATGTCTATGTGCTGGCTACACCTGATTTGTCATGCTGCAGTGGCGCTGGCTGTGTTGCAGATAAGGCGGAGTGGCAGAGTGATCACGCTCTGCACTGCAGCATTCAGACACAGACAAAGGCAACACGGGGTGCAAAAGACCAGAGCGTTTCGTCTTTACGCACAGTCAAATGTCACAGGTCCATGTGGGAAAATGTGAAGACCTTGCATTTAAAAGACTCAAGGTGAAAACTCACTAGTACTGTACAGCAGCGTAAGTCAGCTACTGAGCGTTCCCTACTCTTCAAGCTGCCAAAACAGCCCAAAGCTGCAATTATCTGTCCGTTGATTCGGTTGTTTACACTCCAAATCAAAAAAGTTTTCACCAGCATGGCAGCCTGTTAAGCGTTAGTTTCCCGGGGAAATAGTGTATGCGATCGCTTGTTCTAACCTGGGGGAATAAAAGCAAAAATGACGGCTAATTTTGCAACAGTAAGGACAAAATAATTAGCCAATAATTAGACCGAGCGCGCACCCGGTAACTATTTTGCTCACGCGCGCAATGCCTGACCTCCCCAGGAAAAGGTTATCAGGAGAATGGAAATTGCTTTCACCACTCGAGTGCTAAAGGGTTTTAAAGATGACTGCTGGGTCGACCACAGCGATCAGACGTCCAATCCCTTACTCCGCTTACAGTCTGCTGGGCGCTCACAGGATATTCTAGAGCAATTGTGGCTCTTTGAGACTCACAAAGTGGTGAGAGCTGCTGTTGTCCGCTGGTTAAAGGAAGGAAATAAACGGCGCGCAAAAAGGTTTTCAAAATATACCATGAGAGCAAAGGTTACGTTGTGGTAGTTGTGCTTGTGCTTCACCTACTCCGACCAGTAGAGGAGGATGTTGTTCCACTTATTATTTGTTTTAAAATAAACTGCTGGTTGCAGCTCAACTCTGTACTCCTATTTAAATGTGAAACTTGAATGATTTAAAGTGAATAAAAGAACTGATTTCCCTTCCCTCGGGTTTCTCTAGTCCTTAACACTTCCTACTTCCCCTTGTCCAAAGTTACTCCCCACTAGCCCGAAGTCACATTCTCCTTTTAACATAATCACTCCCCTCGGCCCACTTTCAGCTTCCAGATCCCTGCATCATGAAGCCGGGGTTGTTAACGTGGCCCCCTGGGGCCATAACCCTCACAGCGGAGTCGGCTCAGTGTAGACGCCATTACAAAGACTCAGGATCATAAATATTCTTCAGTTATTTCCTTTTGAGCATATATTCAGTGATCAAATACATATTTATTCCTTTCTTGGAGTTTAACCTTTATTGGTGCTAATGTGAAGAGTTGCATTTTAATGGGCTCAGTAACAAAATCCCCAAACAGCATGTTTTTTTTTTTTTTTGCTGACCTTTCATTCTGCAACCGTCACCAGATTAAAGCAGCCAAAGTGGAGCACGCCGATGTAAACACACAAATTCCCCCTGTCCTCCTCTCCTCAGACTCATTAATGAGAATCAAGGTGACCTTTGCTGGAGAATTTAATTCCGGTCTAATCACGTTGATTCTCTCTCTCTCAGTTTTAGCTTTAATAAAACATGCAAGGCATAAAAATCCAAACAAATCTGCACCCTCACTTCGAACCTTTGAAAAGCATTGTAACTTTAACTTTAAGAATACATCATACACTTGCTCACGAAGAAACCTCCGGATATAAAATACCTCACTGATACGCGAGTCAAATCACATTAGAACCCCAACTTGATGCGACAAAAAACGTGTGCTTCCTTGTGGACCGTTGTCCTTTCAGTCATGACAACACGGCACATTGTTTGCTGTTTCCGTGCACACACACACACACACACATCCGAAAGGGATCCAGTATTGTTTCCTGGCAACGCTGGCAAACACCCACACTTTACAAGGGAAAGCATCATGTAAACTGTCCATTGATGGAAACAGGAACACAAGCAGAGCAGCAGGCAAAAAACAGGCTGAATAGGATTCTCTTAACTGAGGGTATTCAGCTTGTGTCGATGCATTTTAGGATCACACAACGCCAGCTGAATTTTGGAAAAAGAAAAGTCTCTGAATAAGGGCAGAATGCCAGATGTGGTTGGCTGCACATGGAGCAAAATCCTGCAAACTAAAACATGGAAAAAACACCCACTGCAATAAACACATGGCGAGACTTGGTGGACGCCGAGGAAAATCAGCACAATCAGCAACAACATATCGTAACAAGTGAATGAATCAGTAGCATATTGCAAAGATAAGGCACAATCCATTCTTTAATTTCCCTTGATCATTAGATGTGTGTCTTTAGTGGGTGGAAAAGGAGGTCAGTAAGTGGGGAACAGGTGTTGGAGGACCAGAGATGACCCTGCTATGGGACACTTCTGTCTCAGATGTCCATGCTGAAACGAGAAGTGAGGGGCGAGGAGGAGGAGGAGGAGGAGGAGGAGGAGGAGGGAGAGTCACAGCAACAGAAGGACAGAAAGGACAGAGAGAGGACAGAGAGACCGGAGCAGTGGAGGGGAGAGAAAGAAAGGGAGGCAGGAGAAGAGTAAGATAAGAGATGGGTGCTGGGGGGTTAGCGGGAGAGAGAGAGAGAGATCTCGGGGGGGAAAAAGATCTTCCAAAACAGTTTGAGTTCACGGCAGCACACGAGAAAACTACTTTACACAGAGATGACCCTGATCCGCTGCAAAGACTTAGCGGCGTACGGGGAAAGCACACGGTCGGGAGGACACACTGTCCTGATCTATTCTTGTCCTCACCCCACCGTACCCGAGCGCGATGTGAAACGGGACCTCGGGCCCGTCCTCCAGGGGGGAAATCGGGGGGGGGGGGACTCGATGTGAGAGGGTGGTCGTGTCACTTGGGACGATTTGATGCGTCCATCTGCGTCTCTAAGCCCGTCTGACGGGGATACACACGGATCACCGGCAGGCCGACCGCCCGACGTATCGGCGCCATGTGTACAGGATACAAAGCCCGCGGCAGTCATCCGCCGTCGGCCGCGTTGACCCGCCAGGCGAGCTGAAGCGTGGGCCGACGGGGAGTAATGCAGAGCAGATGCCCGAGCTGAAGATGGTGCTCACGCAGTCTCTAGTCCCCCCGCCATCGGAAATCCTTCAAGTTATTAACATACCGCCCCTTCCGTGCAAATAAATCACGATGGAATCCAACACTGCTCATGACTGATGTGTTCAATAACGCTCTCTGCTCTGCATGATCGGGGACCTGCGAGGTGCCATCGTTCAATTTCCCTCCAAAGGCCCTTATCTTGTAAAAATTGTACTTAGATCGAGTTTCTGTCAGCACATTTGCAAAAGCAATCAACTTGAGCTCTTGTAAAAAAAAAAAAAGGAATACAACACAATTACCCATGAAAGACAGCAGCCTATCAAGTGCGACCCTGAAAATAATCTTGGATGGGCTCCCTCACGGACATAGTTTTACACACACACACACACACACACACACACACAGTGGATGCTGACGCTTAATCTTTCGCTCTCTCAGTCCATCTCCAGCTCTCTCTCACACTGTCCCGATGCTTCATCCACACAGACATACACACACGAGTGCCTAGAATAGACTAATCTCACGTGTGGCATTGCAGCAGCTAACACATCCATAGGACATGTAGACACGTGGCCCATGTATCATATATCTATTCCATAGTTTCATTACCATTGCGGGCGGTAACATAACCGGCGTTTCAGACGCAATTCGTTTAACGTCCAGGCAGGAGGCGCCTAACATAACTTTTCAATGAATAAGGCACGTGGATATCGGATACGTGGTGAATGAGTCAGGTGAGGCTCTTTGAAAAACAGGAGCCCGGCCAGCTAAGCTTCTCCAATGGCACCCTCTCTCGGCGGGAAGTTGGAGTCGACGCACATCCCACTTCGACTAGAATTGTCAAATCTGCCCAGGAAGGTTCCTAACTGATCCTCACCTGACAGTCGGTGTTGCCTGGTGCTCACTCGGTTGGTGTTCTGGACCTCGCAGCAGAGGTGGAGAATGGCGAACATGGTGACGATCATCACCACGCTCTGCAGCAACAGGGTCAGCTCAAACTGCTTCCCGATCCTGCAGGGACGCAAACAAAAAACCGACCACGTCGCAGACTTCACCGAGGTGATAAAGCACAGTCCACTATGTGTGTGTGGCCTTTACGGTAAAAACATAACGTACATGAGGTATGAGTGGATCCCAGTTAACACACGGAACTATAGCATTCAATTACTAGGGTTTTATTTTAGGACATTTCATACGGGCTATAAGCGGCACGGAGAGAACTCATAAATAATACAATGTTCCCACCTGATTCTATGAAGAATTAATCAAATACCTTCTTCGGTGCCTCTAGTCGGAACATCGAGCCGAGCTCTCTGATGTGTAAAACCATTTGGGAAGACGCCTCAAAGGGAACAGCGTATGGCTCACGTGACGTGATGGATCTTATCTTTATTCCGTGACTATATTCCACTTCCGTTACGTTGTGACACCAGCGCTGATCTATGGATCGCTCCTTAAGACGCCCTGCGGCTTCCAAAGGGGCCCAAAAAGAGGCCTTTCCCAATCGTCCTCACCAGAAGAAGATGCGCAGGATGTTGGCCACCAGCAGCACCAGGCAGACCCGGGTGGAGAAACCGTCGGCGTGGCCGCTCTTCCGGATGTCCTGGTACTGCGGCACGTAGGGCAGCGCGCCGCCAAACACCATGAGGCAGGACGCCATCCAGGACAGCAGCGGCCACGAGTCGGCCGCCGCCTCCTCCTGCGCGACCACGGGCGCATCCATCGCACCCGGGTGGGCTCAGAGGGGTCTTAAGGTCTGAAGGTTGGACCTGGGAAGCAGCGACAGGAAAGAAATGAGAGCTAAGCGGAGGTACGGCCGATGGATGATGAGGAAGACAAAGATGGATGAAGATGAATCCCTTAGTTCAAATGAATCATACCTGAGGATAAAATGTGAGGACAGAAAGGGCCCACATGGTTAAAATGATAACATGAATGGTGGCTGAATGGCTTTAAAAAAATAATAAGAGAATATAAGGGTACTTAATAAATGGTTAGTGGGTCAAAACATGTGTAATCCATTACATACGTTTGGCTTGAAAAATTGTGTTATTGATTTGGTAAAAACATTTAGAAGGTAAGGCTTTAAATTGTCGACAGTCTGCTATGTTATTTGTTTGTAAGTTCGGGCATGTAGGACATGCTGTGAATAAAGTACATCATTTATTTAGTAAGCAGGAGTAGTTATCTCATTATACAAAGACTGAATTCTTTCACCACATGAATATTTGGGCTGTGCGGGGCGTGGTTTGGCTCGGCTGCAGAGGGGATAGAGTGGGGGGGGGGGGGGGGCTCGGGGGACGGTGCCAGCAGGTGGAGGTGTAATTGGCCTCAGCTGTTTGCAATTGTTCGTCTCCCGGCGATCCGGCGGCGAGGGATGACAACAAGTGAGACGAGGAGCCCCGACGCCGAGATTTTGAACAGACTGCTGCCAGAATCACAATAAAGCTTGTTTACGAAGCTTTATTGTTGTGTACAACAACAACAACCCCCCCCTCGTAACCACCCACATTACAGCGCCATCGTCTCTTGTGCGGTCACATGGTTGACCGCGAATTATTGCTGAGTGCCAGACGCACAAATAGTAGAGGTGCTTATAGGTCCGATAATCCTAAAAACAGTGTTGTTGTTGAGCAGCAGGCTTTCCTGAGGGGAGGAGAACATCAGGGGCTAATTCCTCATTTCTCCACCCAACAGAACCAACACGGTGATTCAATACATTTAAAGCGTGACAATGCAGATAAGCAACTCCAAGGAATCAGGATCAGCGTGTTTTGGCGTGAGAGCTCCATATCTTGCTGTGCAGACAGAAATATTACCTGCCACATTCTGAGCAAACAGAGGCAAATGGTGTGGCCTGACATGTCACCGTGGCATTGTTCTCTCTGGCTGCGTAATAACGACGGTGTAAATTCACTGTACGATTTTTTTTTCATAACTATGCAAATATCTACTCATAGGTATTTGGCGTGCAGTGTAGTGACTTGGTATGTCAAAGTGAGGACTAGTAGGGCCATGACACAATAAAAACATCACCAGTAGGTTTTCTGGAGGGGAACTTTTGCTCAGACTGGCTGCTTGATCGCTGACCGTAGGCCCATTCAGGAGGAGATTCAGCTGCACTCAGAGCGTCGAGAGACATTCAGAAGATAAACGGGGTCTGATTACCCATCTGGGATTTCACATAACTCAGCTTTAAGCGAGGCCTTGGGAAGGGACCAAATCAATATTCCAGCCGGCACCTCCCATGCTTAGGAGGACCGAGTTGGACAGGTGGAGCAAAAGCCAATTCTCAAGTCCTCTACGGACCTTTTGTGTTTATCCCTGTTATTTATCTGATTATTAAGAATGCAAAGTGAACTAAAAACCGCAGAGCAGCCCCGCCCCCCCCCTCTCCACCACAGGCAGAAGGACCAGCCGACAGTTGAACATTACTCAAGAATGTAACAATCAAACTTGTCTTAAACGGTTTCCTTCTGCCTGTTGGTGTGAGTGCACCATCACACACACAAACACACACACACACACACACACACACACACACACACACACACACACACACACACACACACACACACCACAGCCCGGCGTGTTAGAGCATAGCTGCACGGGGTTGGGTCAATGGCATGTTTGATCACACGGGCATCAGTTAACAAAGAGGCCGGCCTGTCAAATCATGTTAGCTGCTCTGTGCGTGTGCGTGTGTGCGCGCGTGCGTGCGACACAAAACAGACGCGCTCTGAGAAAGTCTATGAGGACGCACGCGCCCATAACACAGACAATGCACCAATGGTGGATTTGTGTGTGTTTGTCTATTCGGCGTTATCTAACATTCGGAGTTTTGTGGGTAAACCGTGAACGGAGACCCCCCCCCCCCCACACACACACACACACACACACACACCGCTTTACTCACCAGACGCTTCACCTTGTCAAAACAGCTCCCACTCTCACGCGGGCACGAGCTCCAACTTTTCAATCCCTACTTTCTCAACGCGCGCATCCGATCCCGAGTCGCGGATGCTCGCTCGCACGCACGCACACGCGCGCCGATGGTCACTTTGTCTCTCAGACTCAAATGTAAACCATATTCCAATGTTAAACGCGTCACGTCCGCTCGCCGAGAGCATAACACAGCTGAACACGCGCAATGACTGAGGGCGGGTCAGTGCTGTGAGTAAACTACTCTGGTGAAGTAATGTATGGTCCCCTTATTTAAAAAAGAAATTAGCTAAAAACTCCATATCCCACAATGCTCGGCACGCCTGAGATAAATATCGCGAGACGGCCCGCGTCGCGGAGCAGCTGACTGCGGTGGGTGGTGACAGGGAGGGACTGCTATCCGTATCGAACAGTTACACGCCAGATAATCCCAAAATAATCGGCAGACCGCGCTCACCGTTTCCGAGCTGTTTAGCCGCTGATAAGAGTCGACGCCGCGACATGGCCGAGACGGACCCCAAGTCGGTGCAGGACCTCACCAACGTGGTGAGTCGCGGTCGAGATCGCGAGCTAGCGTTAGCCGCGGTAGCCTAGCTACCTAGCGTCGACGGCCACTCCGCTCACGGCAACGCGAATGCTAACGGCGCTAAGCTACTAGCGAAGGCTACAGCACATCGGTGGTAGTTATGCGTTTTGTTTGTACAATTCGAGCAGGCGTGCGGGCTCTGCTTGTTCGATCTGTTTTGCCGAAGCCAGAACGCCCTGACCTGTTTTATTCGGCACGTCGTGTAACAACAATGGTCAGTTGTTGTCGTCTTTGACGTGACCGATCACCAAATCACAACAGAGCAAACCGCATACCGATTTGTTCCCGTGCAATGGTTCTTCCGTGCATACGCTTATTCTAATGATAATTAACATTACGTTACCATTAACGTTGTGTTGAAGTGTGTCATTTCCCTCATAGAACTCACAGAACTCCATAGGTTTTTGTTTTTGTCTACACATTGTTTTATTTTCAACCATTGCAGAGTAAAGCGTCTGCAGAGAACTTCACGTTCATATTTATGTTTTTCATGAACCTACATTGTATCGTAGAGCCTTTTGTGATTGGTTGGCATCTCTAAACTGTTGACTGTCTCATTGAGCACCGACACCACTTTAGGAAATTGATTGGCAGCAACACACAATACTGTGAGTCTGTTGTGCGTTCACTGCACAGATGCTTATCACAGCGAATTAAGGAAACTTCTACCATGGAAACTGAGCTTTTACATTGTTGTCAAGGAAACTAGAACCTTGTTATCATTGTACTGCTGCTTTAAAAGAAATCATTCATAGATCACACCCATGATGCATTAGTGTGGGTGCTGTTTTCCCCACACCAGAGGTATTCGTTGTTACAGTTCACTGACTGCAGCGTTAGTAAAATCTTTTTTGTGTCAAACCAAGCTGGTGCACCTGCTAACATCAGTCCATGCATTTGATTGGGGCTTTCATAGTCATGCTTCCTGTTTGTGGTGCGTTTCACAGGTCCAGACACTGCTGCAGCAGATGCAGGACAAGTTCCAGACCATGTCAGACCAGATCATCGGGAGGAATATCCAAACGCAACCATTCAAGTGTTCATTGATTTAAAATGCATGGGTAGTGAAGTTTAATCATATTTAACGATGTCTCGAGAGTGGAACGGTTGTCCCCATTTTAGAGTCATTTTGTTAGTTCTCCTTTTATTTATGTGCCTTGACCGCTCCCCACTCGATGAGATGAGCACGCGCATCGATGACTTGGAGAAGAACATCGCCGACCTGATGACCCAGGCTGGTGTCGAAGAGATAGAGGCTGCACCGGAAAAGGCTAAAGAGGGTCCAGGCTCATAGTGAAGGTAAGCTGTAGCCCCACACCATAATAATCCGGTCGCACCTTCCGCTTTGCTCCGGGCTCCATAGTTGTCGTCTCCAACGCAGACCGTTTTGTCTCTCGCAGATTCCCAAGCATCTCGGAGTGACGTTGATCCCACATTCAGGAGCAGCAAACGACTTTTGATTTAGTGTTGTGTGAAATGCTTTTTTTATATATTGGATATTGTGATAACACGGTTAGTCGTGTAATGACTTGACAAGTTGATCGTCATTTGTAAGTTAGAATAGTGTGGAATGCAGCGACCCAGAGCTCATCTCTCTGCCCTCATACACTTAATTAGCGGGGGGGCTGATGGGGACGGTTTAGGACCTGTGCCGAGGTTCTACCAGGCCAGAGGAACCTCCAGCCCAACCAACTTGGCGCAGTGAGCATCTGAAGCTTGTTTCAGCACTTGCTACCAAGCTGTGGGATGCGTCCAAAGTTCCACAGATTCTCTTCTATTAAAGCTATTTAATACAATGCTTTCCGTCTTGTATCACACAAGTATTTGGCCAGGTGGGTTTAAGGATAGACAACTCCTAGGTGCTAATTGTTTTTCTAAGCCAAAGTTGAATTTGATCTTGCAAACTATCTGAAATGTTTCAGTGTTGCATGTTGGTAGTCTAGATTGTTTTAGATGTATTGAAATGAAATTTGCTGTTGTGAATAATATGTTAACCATTTAATGTCAACTGAATTAGAGGTAGAATGGCTTCCCAAAAGAGTCACATGACTGCAAACAAAATTCACAGAGCAAATGACCAACAGAATTAAGTGCCAAAAGCCTTAAACATACTTTAGCAGTAAACAAAGCATGTTATACAATGTAAGGAAGGTGGAACATTTAGTGAACATTTTATGAATGCAATATTAAAGTTTTGTATGTATTAAGTGAAAGGTTCCTTAATTGCATCAGTTTAGAACTCAAAGTCGTCCTCCGTCATGTTGATGGCCCAGGCAAATTTGTCCCTTTGGGCCTTATTGTAGATTTTTTCTATTCGTACCGCCATGTTCTTGCACCTGAACAAATGGAAAAACAAAGTTAAAACCACCAGCTGATCTTGTTACCGGTCCCAAATATTTGCAATTTAAAAAAAAAAAAAAGGGGGATACTGATACAAACTAACCAGAAAATGTAATCACAATAAAAGCCCTATATGTTGACAACTTAAATAATCTATTTCTATGGACATTGTGTTCGATAAACAAGCAGTTAGGAATAATTAATATTCAAACAACTGTATTTAAGCCGGAGACGAAGTTCTGCAACATGCAGAAGCATCCTGCTCTCCATCAGAATGTGCTGTAGTTGTTCCAGACAGACCGGTAAGTCATGTGAGTGACTTATTTACATTTCGATCTTATGCACGCGGGTGACTGCGAGGCTTAACACCAGGTGAAAGAGAAACTGCATCACAAAACCCCAGTTAAGCCCGTGTTCTCGCTGAGGCCTTGGGGAGCCTGCGTGGTAATGGTCACTCACCAGGCCACGGTGATGCGCGGGTCCAGGTAGCTGACCTTTGAGGTACCAAGTGCAATCTGTTTGTTTTCCTCTCTGTTTATCGCCTGGACATCCAACTTCAGCAGCTTCTCCTTGCAGCGCCGCACCGCTGCCTTCTTGTCCACCACCTGACTGATGGAAATCACACGTTTTTGTTTTTTTTCTTCTGTTAATGGGAGTTCTTTCCACATTGTCATCATGTGCCGGCGAAAACAAAAACGGCCACGAGTGTACAAACTGCAGAACAGTGACTATTAAAACAGTTGTAACAAATGGCTTAGTTGTCCTTGAAGGACCTCGACATGCCTGCCACAGAAACTAGCGTTCCCACCCTGTGCCACACACTGCAACGTACCGCTAACAAAAAGAACAAGGACACACAGAGTAAAAAGGACAGCAGCGGAGCCGCCAACACAACTCTCCCTGACAGCTTGAGTGAGGCTCATTATTCACCGTGGAGCAGTTTCCCCCGTTTGGAGGCACCTAAACCTGCCCGTTACCTTTCTATTGGTACTCGTTATTGTAATGGTTTTGTCCACAGCACTACGATGACACGTACGTCTGCAGCTTGGGGTCCGAGCTGCCTTTGGTCTTTGCCTTCTTCTTGGCCTGTTTGAGCTCTGTCTTTAAGAGGGCCAGATATTTCTTCTGATCATCAATCTGGATGAAGCACACGTGGATATGGTTGAAATGTCGAACACTTTCAGATTGCGCTGGAAATGTGATGGACGACCGATAAACCACGTTAGACGTCTTACCTTGGCCTGGAGGTTGGCCATAGACTGCTCGAAGGTCTTTGGCAGCGCCCGCTGGTGGTTACACAGAATGGCAACTGCTCTGTTTGCCTTGTTGTAGCACAGCAGCTTCTCCTGCTCATTGTCAGACTCTGAGGGGAGAGTTATTTCTATTTTTAAGACGTAAATATCATAAAGATTTAATAATGCTGTGTCACTTTTACATTTCATTTATTTATTCAGATCACTATAAGCGTCAACTAATGTTCCTGGGCTCCAAACAACACAGTGGCAATCCATAGATGAGAACGTGTGAGAAACCGTCAGAGGAAGCCCGATAAGAGTGAAGCAGAGAGTCACAGCGCGCAGTGATAAGGTGCTCCCGGTGGGCTGGTCGTACGACGGAAGGCTGTAGCATCAAAACATTAAAAACTTTCCTGCTGCTTTGGAATACGAGACTGTCGTTTGTGGCGTCATGTTAAATCGCTATTGATCGCGTGTGATACTCACTGTTTGTCAGCTCTTTGAGCTGCTCCTGTAAGGTGATGGAAGCGTTGTACGTCCTGAAGACCCTGGCGGTCAGACCGGTCATTAGAGAGCTCAGGTGCTTGTTCAGCATGATAGTCTGCAAAGGATTAATGGGGAGGGGAGCAAGGGAAGGCCGAGACGACACATTCGCATCATTCACATCAGTGCGCAGCGAACCGAACCGAGCCGCTGCCACCGGGTGGCACTGCACCACTGCAGTGTTTCAAGCGTCCGTACGCACAGAACAACATCCCTGCCTTCATTTTCACTGACCGCCATTAGAGCGGAGAGTTGAAAGAGATCAAAGTACCATTTCTCCTCTGACATTTCGGTAGGTATTAGAAACGGAGCTCGCATAGTCAACGGTCAGATAGCCATTAGTTCCCGTTAAATGGTTGCAGCTTCAATAGAACGGGGAAGAGATTATACAGAGTAAGCAGTGAGAGCTCACGCTGGTAGGAAAGACACATACACACACACCATAGCAATACTGGTACGAGGTATAAACACACAGGCTCGAAAGCGAGCGCGTGCATTTCTAAACAGTCGAAGGAGCACAGACGCAGAGAACAAAACATCCAGATGAGCGCTCAGCTCTGGCAGCCGAATCATCATCATCATTCGGATGATTCTGGGGAAGATTATAATGATGAGGTTGGTTTAATCAGAGCAGGGTCAGGACCCGGCTGTTGGGGGACAGGAGGGAGAGGGAGAGGGGGGGGGGGGGGGGCACACTGACTTGTGTGAAGACTTGCATGTCATCTTTCTTACTGATGACCTTGCTCACAACATACGACGACTACTGGCAGGGCCACATATTGACTGTTACCGTGCTAAACCCGCTATGGTGACGTGGTTTTCTCTGTTTGTTTCCAGTTAAAAGGAAAAGGGGGGATGCAATAAAGAGTGAAGGCAGAACTAGATGTGCCAAATAAAGCAGCTCAAAGGGAGATTAGCCTGGAACAGCAGCCAGTGTGTTTACTGAAGCTCTAATGATGTGGACCCACAGATAAACATATTTAGCTCAGATCAGCATGGCATATGACATGGAGGAGCCCCCAGTCGCTCCTTCAAAGATGTTATTCACTACAAATCGGGCCTTACGGTGAACAATGAATGCTTGCAGGTATCTGAAAGATACAGGTCACATTAAACTGACACTTTAGTGCATTGTGTACACCAACGAACAATAGAAACTGAACGGTGTTCAGCGTTTCAGTTGGGCGGACACAAAGAGCCGATTTGACACTGAAATGCTGCTAAGGTCAAAGGTTCACCTCGCGGTGACCATTGTGTTGTCTGTTGAAATATTTCTATGTAATTGTCATAATTACTACATGAATACGTTAAAAACATTTGGTGAGGTCACTGTGACCTTTGACCACCAAATTCTAAACCAGACCGACCCAGTGGACGTCTGGGTGCCAATTTGTAGAAATGCGCTTAGAAATACTTTTTTTTTTTTTTTTCAAGGGCTGTCAAGAGTTTCTTCTCACACTACATTCAGCTTCACTCACCAAATAAGCCACTTTGTTGAAAATAAAGAGATATCCGTTTCACTGTGAAAGTAAAGGTGAGGATACATACATCTATTTTGCATTTTGGCGTCAACAACCGAGTTACACCGTGGCCAGTTTGTTCAATTTGCATTAACCCCCCTCAGTAGCTCAGAGTACAAAACACCACCTCAAGCTGGTTTTGCTCCGACCACCAGAGGCTGTGAAGTCGTTGAACTCTGCAACTCACTTCCCTTAAACCACTCTGCAGCTCCGCCTCTCATCCTGCGTCACTCTCCATTTCCAGATGGCCTCTCTCCTCCTCCTTCGCCTTCTCCTCCTCTTCGGCTCCTGTTCGGCCCCTCTCCTCCTCCTCCTCCTCCTCTTCCTCTTCCTCCTCACGGCCTTTACAGCTGCTGCCTGGTTGTCAAGTCCATCACTTGCTTTCTCCTTCCCTCCCTCTCTCTCTCTCCAACCTTCTCTCTCCTCACCTGAAGCAGCTGTCACACTCCTATTGCTCCATCTACTCCCACACACACTCACACACCCACATACACCCCCCCCACACACACCTCGCCTCACTCTCTCAGTGGCCTGGCCTTTGCGGGTGCCAATCAGGCCTGCCCACAGCGGCCATTACCATTCCACCTCCAACAGGCCCTGACATTTCTTGACACACTGGAGGGCAGAGAGCGGCGGCGTCGCACACCTTCCCTCAGTTGCATCTCTTCATCTCCCCCTCTCAATTCTGTCCCATCTGGCGTCTTCCTTGCCCGCCCCCCACCTGTCAGTCTTAAAATGTAGACACAAGGCTGTCTCTCAGACTAACCCGCTCTTATCTGCATCTCTTTCTTGCCCAGTTTCTGCTGCAGAGTGACTGCCCACGTGCTGAAGCCGCCGTCCGGTTTCCACTCTGAGGGAACCAGTTTATCAGGGGATCCCCAGGCGGGATGATGGTTAGCCTGAGGCGCGGTCTCAAGTCGACAGCTTATGCTGCTGTTTGTATGAAAGGGCCGGAGCGCCGCCTGCCATAAGCTAATAACCATGTGTTTTGCTGCCGCAGATTTTTGAGTGCTGAAATTCATCTGCCAGGCATGTTCATTCTCAATTTCCACTTGTTTAATTTTTATCTGCCGAGGTCCATTCCTTCTCTTTTGAAACTCTGTTCCGGTTTCAAAGGCTCTTCCCCTTTTCTTCAATTTACCTCTTTCATCTCCTCACACTACTGGCTCATTCAATCTCATCCCCCCCTACGCCTCACAATTCAGTCCCTGCCTGTCCTTTACAGCAGCCTGCTGTAGCCAGGACACATAAAAGAAAGAAAATAATGTTTCACCGTGTTTTTAGACCTTCTCTCCTCAAATATTACACACCCACACCATTTTTTTTATTAAAATTAAATTAAAAATAAATGTTAGTAGTTGGAGGTACTCACGTTGAGTCTGCCAAAGAGTTCATCCCCAGGATTTCTGTCCTCCAGGAACATATTAAGATTCTTAAAAACCTGAAAAGACGCACATACAAATTGCATAATTTGTATTGTAGAAACAGTCAGTTACCACAAATGAAATCACCCACATTACAGTGTGTTACAACTATGGCAATTGGTGCATCCATCTCAAACACTGTATGAGCTAAAAATTGCATCCAATGTCCGAGTCCATTCATTGTAAAAAGTGATGGTGACTTTAAAAGGTGAGCTTACTGGTTAGAGCTAAAAACACCAACAACTACACTCTTACAAAAACACATCTCAATTAGCAATGGTAAAGACAAAAGGGCCTTGAGTCAGACTTTTTTCGTCCATCTTGGGAAACTGTATCCATTACATGTGACATTTCCAGCTTCTGCAGCTGCACCGGTCCCCTTGTAAAATATGCAAGGCCCCAATTAACAGCAGACGTGTTGCTTTACAGAAACACACAGACCGATTTGTGGGGCGGACCGGCGTTCCCCTCGGCATACAATTTGAAAAGAATATAAAAGGAGCGCGTGCTTTTGGGATAGAAAATGGGAATCGGTGTCGGCCTAAAAGTCCCAGAGCAGGACAGGAACCAAAGTAAAACTCGTATAATTGATGTGATTTACACACAATGCATGTATGCATCTGCAGGTGTACACACACTGGGGCTAGTTAATAAAGTCATTCGGTGCAGCTGGTTTACAAATTGAGAAATAAGTAGGCATTTGTTTCAAACAATAGAGACACACACACACGGGGTGCTAATTAGTCACTGTGTGGCGTAGTTGTGAAAGGTGCATTAGAAATGGCTTAGTAACCCTTTTGGCTACTTCCCATTCCTGCTGAGAATCAATGACTTGACTTTCCATTTAATTACATACGGAGCATTCGTCTTCGGCGTTCCGGATTATGCAAAAGCTTTGCTCATCTGTGTTGCCGGGTCCCCCGTAGCACCCTACGTTCTCTGCATGCAAAAAATTTGCAGAAGCCACAAATTGTACTAACTGTACATGTGAGGCAAATGTATAAGACAAATTATTAGATTAAATGATTACTGGAAATAGAAATCCACTTCCTTCCATGTTTGTTCCATTATTAAATTCCAAGTGACATTTAGCGGCAATCTCACTGATTTCCTTGGGAATAGTCGCTGCTAAAATATGCAAGGGAGTAATTATTTCTAGCTAATGCGTTTCTTTTGAATGCACTCATTTGAATAATTATACATTCTGCCAAGAAAGAAAACACTCTGGCTGTCAGGTGCTAACATTTCTTTTTCCCATCTCTGGAACAGAAGATAGCATGGGCTGGGACCAGAGGAGGGGCTGGAAATCTACATATGCATACATACACTCACACATGTGACAGCTGTTGGACAGATTGCAACGACCGAGCATGATAAAATTAAATAACAAAATAAAGTTTCCGGACACATTTGGTTTTCCTGGCTGACCTGCTCACTACGGTACGCGTCGACGTGTACTGTATCACCCACAACTGGCAAGCGTGGAAACAGTATTTAATTACGTTCTGGTTTAAAATGAACTCTGGTGGCAGTATTTCCACCGGGGCATTAGTGTAGACACCTGACAGCATGAAGCCAGGCCAAGTTTTGGAATGAGGTAAAGGCTGTTCTTTACAACTTCGAATATCAGTTAAAGTTACAACTACATACAAAAACTAGACACAAAAATGGATAAAATATGTGCCGTGTCCACACACTGTCTCCCCCCACGGAAGCGCTGCAGGGGACAAAGTGTTTTTTCAACGATGCTCTGCCCCCTCAAACAATCCACCAGACTGAGACTACTGGAGGGGGATGTGACACACACAAGCCGACGGCAATTAACTGAACTGAAGTTGACATGTTTTGCTGCCCGAGACTGTAAAGTTCAAATTGAAAAAATAGCCGTGGTTTAAGAAAAGAACAAGGTATAGACCTGTTCTATAAGACCGGCAACCTTAAATGGCTTCTGCTAGAAAAAAAAACGATTAAGAAAAGAAATTACTTGAGAACAGAGGAGGGTTTCGAGGGGCAGGGAACCAATTTAATTTTAGGGAAAACACTGGATGGCATCAGAGCCGGGACGCTAGGACGGCAATAAAATCACTATTATTATCAATTTCTCTGTTAATTAGTTAACATTATATTCTTTGGATCACGAATAAAGACAATCACAAGTTATGTGAGCCAAAACCTAAAAGCTATGCTAATGAGGAAAGAAGAAGGATCAAAACGGATTCAACAAACTGTTCCCAGCCATTGTGGCGCAATGAGAGACAGTCTCACACAAAGCAGAAGACTGATGCTTCCGAAAGGCTACAAAGCACCGCCCATGTAGTACAACTATTAAGTTTCACCACCCTATTAAAACCACGCTACGATGTACAATTCACCAACATGTAACCCCAGAGAAGCAGCCTGCAGCAGAGGGACGGACGGGCAAATTAAAGCACTGCAGGAAGCTGTGCCCAGAGGACACGTCTCCCGGTGCCTCTCTGCTGCAGGCTCGGTGCACGTCGCGTATGCGTGGAAGTGACCTTCTTCGCATGGACATCTGCCAAAACCAAAAGGGCATAAAACCTAGATCATCATTATGAAATACTTTGGTTTGGGAAAATATTCCTTATGTTACCTCAGCTTGTTATAAACCATTTGGATTTCAAGGCAGGAGAGCAGGGATGAGTGTGTTGGTACCTTCTTGATGACGGAGACCTTGTTGTAGTAGCGGATGCTATCTTTACCCAGGAAGTCTAACTCCACCACATACTTGTTGCCTTCCAGCTTCTTGTGAAGGGTGACGTGCTCCACACGTAGCGAGCAGCAACCGACTGTGTCTGCCGTCTCTCCCTCCTCCTTCTCATTTTCAGCTCTCAGTGCCAGCTTTTTTTTTCGGGGGGGGTTGACGAAAACACAGGGATAAATGCATAAATGTACATCACTTCAAGAGCAAATGAGCGCCAAGCGTTTACTCGTAAGACAAAAGACACAAGATGGAAACCCAAAGTCAACACAGCGAGGCAGAGTTGGAAAAAAGTCTTTGGCACAAGTCCGAAGCGGTCACAAACTCATCTATCGCTTCACTAAATGTGAGAAACCTGGCATGCTGGTAGTCTCAGAAGCCGACCTTGTCTATGAAGTAGAGGGCCACGGCTCTTTGACGTGTGACCATATCTTCGGATTTGAGATCCTGAAGGTACTGGTTACGGATGTCGTCAACACACAACTTCAGCTTCCGGGCCATCTCGTATTTCTCCCAGTCCTTCTCTCCCTGTGCAGGACGGAAAGAAAGGAAACAAGGTGGAAGACGAGTGGTGCGGACAAAAGAGAGCAACAGGGAGCCGGAAGGGGAAGAGAAAATAGTGAGAAAGGGGGATGAAGATAGAGGGAACAGCAGAGAGGAGAAAAGCAAACAGCAAACAAAACATTTTCCTTTAAAAAGCCTCTGATCAGTCATTTAAATGGCATCGTGACATGCACGCTGCCATATCCCACATCGACACAACTGTATTGACAAAATCGTCCATGCCTGTGACACTGGCTGCCGTGTACATCGGGAGATGGGACTAAAGACATAATTAAATCCACCATTGGCGAATAGGCGCACATATTGTCATGGAGACTAACGGCGGAATAACTTAACCTTCACACATGAAAGACAAGGAAAAGAGAAATCATGGAGGAGGGCGAAAATGAGAGGGCAAAATAATGGCAAGATGTCGCACACATCATACGAGTAAAATTGCCCATTTACTCTCCATACAAAGCCATGATGCATTTTAATATTTTAGAAACAAAATACACTAATACACAAACGGTTTGGCCTTTATGGACACGACAAAGATGCAGGATACAGATCTAATGTCAGATTCATGGTTCTGGTCTGAATAGGAACGCAAGGCCCTGATTCAAAACCAAAAGGGTTCAAAATGGCCTTTCGTATTGCGGTTAAAAGGTTTTGGGAGGATTATTGGTTGATTGACAAACTTTTGTCAGACACTAATATATATATATATACTGTCTCACAAAATGAAAAAAAGACAACTAGTGGTTAAAAACGCTGCAATAGCATCACTATCACAACTCCCGGCTGGTTTGATTGACAGATGGTTCATCCAATAACCAAACGGGTAGGTTTGCAAAATTCTGGAAGTATTAGAAGTTGGAAACTTTCCATGGAAACTAATTGGAATATATGGGAATAAATTGGGACATTTTGGGGTAACTGGATTTAATTTGTCATAAATGATAAAACAAAATCTTGTTTTGTCGTAAGCAGACATGCATACAAACATTTTTAATCCAAAGTTTTTACTTAATCCATTGGTAAGTAGAACTGTGTTCAATCATTGAAGAACAAAACATGGATTTAGAATATAACAGTGTATTTCCTATGATCACCCCCCCAAAAACTATTTCCATTTCCTGTTTTTCTCTGGTTATTGGTGTTGTTAACCCATGGTGGTTTGATAGTGGTACAGGAATAGGCCCTGGGCAAATAAAGCTTAGCAATTTGTCAAAAAAAACATGCTTTAATCTTGTTAAGATTGATCTCGTTACCTTGAGTTTAGAGTTGGCATTCAGCATGATGTATTTAGTGACGCCCTGGATGTTCTCGGTCCAGCTCGCCAGCCATGTCACAGTGTTGTCATGGCGAACCTGCTTCCAGCTGTGACCAGCAGGCGGCACGGGAACTCGGGATTCGCTGTCGATTACAGGGAGAACTCAACACGGAATCTGTGTGTGCGTGTTTTTTTTTTGGTGTGTTGCTTTAACATTCCGTATTTTTGAAGATTCCTAAAGCAAATAATCACACATTCAAAAACCAAACACCGCACCATCTGTAGCAGGAGCTCCCATTGCCTGTGCAGCTGTCAACATGGAGACGCATTGCTTCATATCAAGAAACACGGTGACGTTTTGCAAAGATCTCGCGATTGAAGGCTTTTAAAAACACTGGGAGTTCGCAACACATGGTTTAACACTAGGTTCTTAGCAGCTATGGCTCATGGCAGTATTAGCAAATCCAGCTTTTTCGTCGCTACGCCGCCACACACCCTTCCGTGGACACTGCGGTCGTCTTGCCTCCCTCTCACCTGCTGCAGTTGATGGTGACGTCCTCTGGTTGGATCCTTTTCTTCAGCATTCCCTTCTTGGGATGCCCGCCTCGACCGCGGAACAGCCCCGGAGGCTCAATCTTGAAGTTGCCAATGCGCTCTTTGTGGTGGTCCAGCAGACAGTAGCCATATTCCTCCAAAATCTTCTGGTTGGCCTCTTTCAAGGCCTAATGCAGAAATGATCCATCTTGAACTTCTACAGACACTAACGGGAAGAATCGTATGACACGGAAGCTATGGCATAGAAAAAAGAAAAGCAAAAAACACTACCAGTTTCTCCGCTACGGTGGAGTTTTTCTTGGCCTCCACCGTGGCTTTGTGCATGGTATGGATCTCCCGGAAGTCACATTTGTCCAGATCTGTAATCAGCAATCTCTCCTCATCGACCATTTCCTGAGCAGATGCAAACACAAATCAGATGCAAACACAAATCAGATCACGTTTATTCCCTTCTAGAGTTACTCAAGTTATATCTGCATTAAAGCATGGGTAGCTTTAAAGGAGGAAAGAAAATATGAAAATGAATCACTAGCAATTTTTATTAACAATACATTTCTTCAGGTGGTTTAATGGATTATATAGTATTGAATGGAAAGTTGAAAGGTAAGCGTGATGAAACCAACTTGTTAAATGAAAACACTGCTTCCGTACAGAGACAAAATGTTGAACTCAAAGAAGAAATGCAGAAAGGATCTGCACACAAGCGGTTTAATTTAGATTTGTCTTCCCAAATATCTCAGCATAAAATAAGTAGAACAATAGAACAAATTCAAAGGAGACGACCACAATCTAAGCAGATTAGGGACCCTGAGCTTAATTACTCATCTTTGTGGAGGAAGAACGGACAGAAGAGAAACGGTCTTGTTATGAAAGGCCGCAGCGTAGATCATTTCTCTCCGAAGAGGGAAAGACACTGTGGTACGCTGAAGGGCGCAGAATTTATTGCACCAGAGTTCTCCCCAAAGGAGAGGTCACTAACACAGCAATCCCGTGGAGGCTTTGTTCTGACAAACGCACAAAGCGCACACACCTCTCTCCATGCAAATATGACAGAACAGACATGCAGTTAGTATCCGTGTCCGGGGATGACTGACACACCACTGTGGGCGGGCACCGAGGGGCAGTGGAGCGAGGAAGAGTTTTTACGGGTATAATAACACTTTAATTGGATTTGTTCGTAAGCAACGGAGCTACTTGTCGAGATTAGCATATCAATGCCTTCACACAAATCGTGTTTTCAAGTGCATTGAGCACTAAGCAGCGCTAAATTAATTCTGCATATGACACACGGATATCTCTGTACAGAGGTATCCTGACGGAACGCAGGGCACAGATACCAGTCTACAATTTAAAACACAAAGCTGGAATTTAAACAAATCATAGAGCACTTGGATGCCATCTGTAGTTTAAGCCCTGACCAGCACAAAACTCCAGGTAAGAGAACTAGAGTTGAGTCATCGGTGCGATAGCATCAGTAGAACGACAGCTGGGTCGACATTCAGGAATCTGGCAAAACCATTGCAAAGCAGGGTTAGTTCCCATTTTAAACTGTAAAGGCCTTGTTTTCAATCAAATGTCAACTTTTGGGATAAAGGTGTTTAGTGATGTGAGATTTTGGTTCAATACGATATTTTTTGCTTTAGATTATAATAAAAACTATTTTGTTTTTGTTTGGTTTTGTTTTATTTTATTTTGCTTCCTCTGTGTTTCATCGGATCAAACAAAAAACATCCTAGAAATCTGCTTGGGAAATATGTCACGCGGGAAAGGCACATGTAATTAGGAGAGAAACCGGTCAATTTTCAAAATAAAAAACATTTTTCAGAAGTCAAATGACAAAAAAAATCAAATATTAATTCTATCCGTGGTGCGGCCCGGAAACCAAATGGCCCAAATACCGGTCCGCGGGCGGTTGTGTACCACTTATGGGTATTGCAACATATATATCTTTCCATAGATATGCAATATATCGGCATATCTCTAAAAAAGGTTAAGGTCGGTTCTGGGAACCTAAAAAAGTCAAAACGTTTAGTTCAGGGAACTAGAGGATTGAATACCCTTAATGGATTAGAACTTCAGTTTAGGAAATTATCAGCTTGTTTATTGCTTTAATGTCGTTTTCAACATTTCAATCTATTTTCTAAATAGTTCTAGTCCTTTTCTTTTGTCTTGTGTTTTGATGCTTTTATTAGTGTTATGTAAACACTTAAATAAACTTGCGTTGCCTCTCCAGTTTATTTTTAATGAAAAGTTATTTTCTTTCTTACAGCAATATTGTCAGTAGGGGCATTTCAATACCACACAACCTTATCAGCCTCCTCGCAAAACTGACAAAATATCCAAGACTCTGGCTTTACCTTCCTCCAATCGGTCAAGAAGTTAGCCTGGAACACCTCCTCGAAGGTGTACTCATGGTCCAACATCCGGCCAAAGAAAACCGCCACCTCTTCAGCGGCCGGGCTCAGCTTCACCTCCATACCTGCACCCAGACAACACGAGCTCACCACGGAACACCACAATACAACGCAGACCTCTCGGTCCCAATTTACATGCTACAAAAACACAAAGACACACACATCCCAGATCTAAATGCCACACGCTGCGGCAGAACAGCCCCCTGAGCTCCTCTGGCGTCCCGTCAGAGTAAAGCACGGATCGACAGCCAAGGACAGAGATCTACATTCAGCCCCGCTACGAAGAGTGAGACACAAACGAGTACACGGAACTAATGGATCTAACGGAATCCTTGCAGGACAGTTAAACGCTGTACTGGTCGTCAATCAGCGTTGGACCCAATGCACACCGTGAGCATGCTGAAGATCCAGTGAACCTCCGTTATCGGTCAGTCAATTCTTGCCTACATACACAGCGGATACAAACTAATATTTGTTCCCCCGCTTACAGCAGTCTGCGCTGCGGCAATTCATTTTTCTGTACTTTGCTATTAGTGTGTAATGAGAAGGAAGTCTAACTTTAAGGATTTAAATTGTGCTATAATCACATTAAATAAATCGGCCCAAAAAAAAGCCTATGCAAACTAATGAAATAAAGGCCCGGCCTTGAAGTGCGCGTCTCTACACACAAACAGTGAGTGGGAAGAACTAGTAATTCACGTTAATGCATGGAGCGCACAATACATTATTACATGACATTTGGAGGGGATTTGCGTATAATGAAAATTAAATAAATTGGGATATTAAAGATTTGGACATTTGATTACCAAGGAGACAGTCTGCCATTATTTAACTTGTGCTATAAAAAGGTCAAAGGTCTTTCAACATAAAGTCTGTATTTTGGGTGCATTGAGCAGTTGTCGCTTTGATTATTTGCCACCATATATTTATTTGTGTGACTACTACTGCCTCCCCAATTTATTTAGTGATCTTTACTGTCATTTTGACGGTTTTCCATATGGATTTTTAGTGGTACAACTTTCAGCTTTTATTTGTAATTCATGGAGCATTAACTTGATATGAGGCAAACCAGACAACAAAAAGTATGTAGAGCTTGAAATGTATTTACTTTGGTCTGAAAGGTACCGAAAGAATTTAAAATGATAGTCATGAGTAAAGACTGACGTTCAACTTCCCCGCTAAACTGACCATCATAAAAGAAGTGAACGTTGTCTGGCAGAGGCTGGTAGTCGGGAGGGAAATAGGGTCCGTTGTGTTCCAGAAACTTCCATTTCACCCCATCTTCATACTTCTTCTCCTCCCACCTGAGAGAGAGCGAGACGGTGAGGAAATGAGGATGCATTTCAGGAGGGGAAGATTGCTGCTCTCCAGGTTCCCTGTGTAGTTTGTGCGCACGTCCAGGTCAGTGTCTGCAGGAAAATATAAATCAAAATAATAGAGCAGCATTTCCAAACCATCTCCAGCAACTCTGCTGCTGCTCCTCCTCCTGCTTTTGGATCTTCAGCAGTCTTGCCGCCGTCACAGCACGTTTTGTCCTCCTTATTCTCCTTTTCCCAACCTCCTTTTCTTCTTTTTCTGCACTTTCCTTCTTTGACCTGCCGGTTCCAAGAACACAGACAGAATAGTTACAGCTAACAACACAGGAAAAAAAAAAAAAGTGAGAAGTACAATTCCCAAATGTCAATATTCATACACAAATGTTATCTTATAATAATGTTAAATGGGCTTACATTTCTGGGCAATCACAAGCTCAAAGTTCTGACTCACGAATGTGAAGCAGTGGAGTGTGAAGGGTCGTCTGTGAGCTTTTCTTTTACTCTTTTCCTTTTTATTCCTTTTCTTTCCTCACCCTCTTGTTTCGGTTTCACCGACTCACTAGACCACGAGAAGAAGTGGAGACTGTTATTGTCAATACCAAGTCGAGTGGACCTTTCATCTTCAAATGGTTATCTGTTGCTTTTTTTCCAATCAGAAGTCTGCTTTGTGGTCTATGATGGTTCAACTCTTTTCATATGTCCAAAAACACGGCAAAGTAGATTGCAGCTTTGTAGTTAAGCTAAGAGCAAAGCAAAAGGTTAGTCCCCTTCAACCAGCCATGATTTTATCAATTGCATTTTAGAAAACCCTTTGTGTTGGATCCCATTTTCTTCCAATATTGGTGTACTTGAAAAACTTGAAATTTCTATGATCTTACTTTGTTTTTTTTAATGTATTTTCTTTCCCCGCTGCCACACGGCTGGCTATAGAAAGAGGACAAAATTACCCTGCTATGTAAAACAGGGAGAAAGAAAAAAGAACCTACAGTACACGTTGACCACAAGTAATCACACATAATTACCGTAATCAAGCAGCATTGTCAAAAACATTAATGATAATGACAAAATTACAGCAATTACAAAGAGGAAAAAATGATACAACTGCTAGCTTAGATTTCCCTGCAGAGGAAGGAATTACTGGGTAGGGAAATTTTCAAATTAAGAAAATCAACAAATTAGACTCATCACCGCTAATAACCAACAGTTCTTTTTTCTGTCACACAACAGTTTGTTAAAAGGGGAAATGTGGATAATGTAAAGCCTGCAATTGCGCAACTGGCTAAATTGATCCTAATTACGGCGCACTATAGTGGCGACTGCCTGGTACACACGGTGTGAGCCTAATGCACCGTCTCTGCACCTCGACAGCACGACCCCCTGATGTCTCCTGATTGAGAGTAATGAGCCCCCCGCTCCTCTGGTCACTGACTCCACGCGGCTTTGCAGCCAACGCTGTACGTGTTCTGGGTCAGAACAACGATGACACGGGACGCCGTCCCACCTCGAGGGGAAACATATGTTGGACGTCAGCAGATAAAACGGGAGGAAAAGGGCATTAATTCATACTAGGAGAAAAGATTACAAAAGGAAGAAGACGAGGTAATACAGAATTACAGGGGACACAATTAGATGAATAATAACTATCTCCACCAAGACACTTTACTCACCGTAAAAAGAGTTTTCACAGTAAGAACGGGACAAAAAAGGCTAAATACAATAGGCCTAAACAAATAAATCTGCACCGACTAAATTGGTTCCAATAAGGAACCTTTGCATGAGGCTTTTAGAGCCGGCCGCTGCCAGAAGGGAAGCAGGCAAATGCACAGAACCCACAGACTGACTGCAGGGGTCATTGTGTCATATTCATGCCGACTATCAACTATCTTTACTTCTTAGGAGCCAGAGCTTCATTTCCATTCGCTACAAAGCTCAAGCGGCAGACCGCTTTGTCCCACCAGGTCCTTGTTCTCCACCGGGGAAAGAATTTTGTTATGCTTCACTTCCCCGACGTCGCTCTCCTGTGGAGATGATATCATAGATATGACGACATTTAATGCACCGTCCCAAAACAAGAGAAAAACAAAAAGAAAGACAAAGCATCTACTGCCAATCCAGAAAGAGAAAGCGATAGCGGGCAGGTGGCCAGAAGAAGGAAGTCAGAAGCAGAAAAAGGTCAAATCAGAGCAACCAGTATCGGTGAGTATTTCTGGTGCCGACTAGCGAGAGGAGGAACATTTATCAACCAGTCATTTGTTCATGGACAGCTCTTTTTTCAGGATGGTTCTTTTTTTAAATGCACGGCTCCGACTGAGATTTCAAATGCTTTTCTAATTTTCATCACCCCCCAAAATAAACTATACATTTAATGAAATCAACTTCCTTTAATCAGTATAAGCCGCCATGTTTTGTAGACTTCCTGTTGGTGTCGTACATCCAGGATGAGCAAACCGTTTTTGTGAATAATAATTTATAGTTTTGGACAATCCTATGCAGCCACCAGAGGAAACTAATTCTAGTAGGATAATATTAATACGGTCAGTGTGACCTGATTGATCTGCAAAAGTGCAGAAATACCACGTTTAAAACATAACAGACATGTCAAGAAAACAGACACTGATTTAAAAAACGTTGATTTTAAACCTAAAAGAGAGCGTTATGAATGAGGCTTCAAACTAACAATTGTAAGACCCAGTTCTCGGTTTTGTTTACTTGGGAAACTTGAGTGTGTGCCGTTGTCGAGCTGTTCAGTTGAACCGTACAACGCGGAGGGAAGGAGACACGTGTGTAGAGTGCGGTCATGTTTTTAGGTATACTGCACCACTGAGCAAAATCCATAAAAAGCTATACGAAAGCAGCCTGGGTCAGTGGGTCCATTGACATTTACGGTCCGTGGTTCTAATAGCCTTATGTTTCTTCCCAACGCCGCTGCGAGCGGAACGGAAACCTACTCAACTTGCACTGTTGCCGGCTGAGCCTTTCTTTAAGGAGAGGGGGAAAAACATAAAGGGAAACATAAAAAAAAAAATATATATATACATGTATATATTTTTTTTTTAAAGAGTATTTTGCTAAACCTGGTTTTTACAGCAGACATCTCCTTTGAAACGTCTCTTGTCACATCAGGTCCGGGAAACAATCCATTAACAACTCGGCAGAAACCCCGCTGTGAGACAGATTTGACACAGCAGGTCTGTGGCCACGTTCTGCCATCCGCGCTGCACCCTGCGGAGCGCCCAATGACTCAAACCTCGCATTATTACGGTCCTGACGAGGCACAGATATTTGTCTTCAATGCAGATTAAAATACAGTTCCCCTTTGAGACAGCTTGAACTATTGAAAAAATGAAAAACATTAGAACCGCAGGAATTAAATTCCGTCACCTCAGGAGGGAAACGGGAAGATTTCTGGCTCCATGGTTACTTTTCAGCAAGGAGCTGTGTAAACATTTTCAGAGCAGTAGGATATTAATCCAAACACTGGACCAGATCGGCACAGCGAAAGGAGAATTCCCACGAGGTGTCACACTTGACTCAGCTGCTGCCTTCCGAGCATTACACGATGGAACTGAGAGACCGCTACAGGGAGTCTAGGGATTTGTTTCTCGGCTCACCAGTTTAAAATCCACCATGTTGCCGCAGTTTGAGTTTTCTTTGCGACTCACATTGATCTGTCTCGTCTGCCTGCCACCCCCCCCCCCCCCCCCAAAAAAAACCCCCCCAGGAACTTGAACCGTCTGCATCCCCCTTGAAGGTGCCCTGAACTAACTTCTACAAAACCTGGCCCACAGTGGTGTCTCTGATCGGCCAGTGAATAAACAAAAGACAGAATTATATGAATAAATGTTGTCATATTGTTTGTAAACATAAAACATTTTATCCCTCTGGCTGCAGTAGGAAAGAAATGGGCAGGGTGGAGAGAGACAGGTTTCATCTTGAACACCGGACTAGCAAAACTGGAGAATAATCAGACTCCACTTGTCAGTTTATCACCACGGCCTTAAACACGGTGCAGTCTACTTGTGTTATGACTTCATCCCTACCGGATGGCAGAGTCCAGGGGTTCAGTCTTGGGTGTCTTGACCTGAGGGAAAGGGGTGGGGGTTAGAAAATAGCATAAGTATCTTATAATGCACGCAGATGGCTTATGACATTATGAACAGCAACTATGTTCACGGTTACATAAAGTCTGAAAACACTCGCAACCAAAGAGCCTTGTTTCATATCTGATGCACATCCCATTTTCAATCTTGAAAACATGTACACAAATAATCCAAATTCCTCTTATCTGAAGCTCTTATTAGTTAAGCTGGCATAGTTAAACTAAGACTCAGGTGAGAGAAAGAACAGCTTCCATGGGTCAGAGTGTTGGTATACATATAAATATCTAGTTACAGCGTGGCGGTAACGTAAGACAACCTGCTGCACATACTGCTGCTGCACTGGGGTCAGTGGGTAACTGGGCATCCTCAACCTGGTGCAAATTCCATGCAGGGCACGAGTTATGGGTGGACTCACATGTCCATCACAAGCCTTCCCCTCGTCACGACGACACTGAATTTCCATTGAAAGGTTCTAAATTGACCTTGGCCTTAGTATCGGCCATCTGCAAAGTATTGTGACACGAGAAGCAAAATCTTGGATTCACCTTTTTCTGAGGCGTTCGTCTTCCCGGTATCTGTGTCGCTTCAGTGGACTTGGCACTGCTCAGTTTGTTAAGATCACAAAAGGAAAAGAAAAGGTTCAAAGGCTTATTATTGTTGAGCAAACAAAACAATATACTTTGGAATAAGAAAGATAGATTTTTCCATGATTAGTCAATGGTTTGAGCTGCACTTCAAGCTACATTTGGAACCTTTAATAAACACAATGGTGTTGCATTTGCTCAAACAGTCACTGTATCTTGACAGCGGTGCATGAGACAGATAACCTGTGAAGAAAACAAGTGCCTCCTCCTACTGCTCCTCATTGTGTTTGTAAGATTCCACCGGGAGCCCAAAGGAAAAAACAACCTATCAGAGCCAAGAACCCAAAATGTGAATCACTGCTCATAAAGCTCATGCACTCCAATTAAACAGCGTGGATCCAGTGTGAATTCATGTACTTTAAGGGTTTTGCCTTTTCTTGCCTCAATGTCCATTCTCGGACACACATTTTGTCATATTACGTTCGGCTTGATTTGCAACCACTGAGATCAACAGCTGCCACGCGGCGGATTTTCAAACTCCTTCTTCAGGTTGCATCATTACATGTCAATTAGCTGGCATTTTATCCAAAGCACAATAAGTGCATTTCAACCAGAGGGATACAAAGTCTTTATAACAGAGATTCGGGTTGCTCAGCAGCTCCCTCACAAGTAAAAACAGTAGAATTCCTTTTACAAGACAACTGAATGAATTTTATTTTATTACTTGTGCACTGCTGTCTTGTTGTCTATTGTTACACTGTCTACTGTCACGCACCAACCGCCAAGTCAAATTCCTTGTATGTATGACATATTTTGGCAATAAATGTTTCCTGATTCCTGATCCTGAATACTATTCAATTCATATTATAGGGCAGACTCCTCCTTTCAAAGCACACGTACGTCTAATACCCAGTCATTTGGAGCACGTAATCCATTCTCTTAAATATTATTTATTCCCCAAATTGCCATAGATTTTGGTAGAATCATGTTTTGACATTCTCATATACTACGATAAGGATAGTGTCAGCATTAGCATATTTTCATTAAAGTTACCGATTGCTGCTTGAAAGGTGAAAGCATATCAGCTGGATGTTGGACTCATGTCTTCATCTGGTTAGTATCTTTTTCCTAAGACAACATTATTAAATGCCACCACAATCAGACAAGCAGTGTTTCTGAGAGTCCCCGTATTAGTTTTATTTAGTTTAGAATTTGACCTTTTCACCCTTCAGGTCTACGTCTAACATGAAACTCGGCAGCCATATTAATTTTATTTTAAATTGAGAAATTCCATTTTCGTACATCACACTTCAGCAATGCAACATTTATGGAAAGAGGCCCTTTCACGCTGAGGAAAATGTGCTCCCTGAGTCTTGTAGCTGATGAGGATCAGTGGAAACTTAATCAGTAATTCAGTCAGTGTGCCATGAAATGACATGAGGCTAGCTGTAACAGAGAGCTGCCTGCTCCACTGCCAGTAGCGCTTTCAGGTGTCTATTCATCTCCCTGCTCCAATCAATTACACAAGCCAATGACAGATCGCTCCACATTCATTTGTCTGCTCATATGTGCATGGTAATGAACGCATCAGATATCAAGGTAAATTAATATATTCAAATGAAGATGGAGTGGCCACTGTACTCCATCTTCAAATGAATTTCATGCACGCTCTCAATGCCACTGGCCTGCACAGCAACTCGGGCCGGCATAACGTTCTGTTGATAACACACTCATGTGTGTATCCTCCAGCACATCGTGCCACGTGCCTCTCACGCTTTCTTGCCCGATTTATCACCATTGCAAGAATGTGAAGCGTTGTGCTGGAGTCGGGTCATAGGCATGTATTGTAAGAGAGCTGCTTAAACATCTATGGCAAGGTAACCGTTATTTTAAATATGACTTATGATGGGATTACAATGAAGTTCAGGCTAAACTGTAGCTCGTTAAATAACTGGTGCATCTTTATTTCAGCAGGGCTTCTTCTGTTTGTAGACAGGTCAGCTGCAGTAAATCAGTATTATAATTTCAGTTGAGCCACTCGCTCAAGTTGTTGTTTCTCAATGACTTTATAGAAGTTTGCTGGTCATCCAACAAAAGGTTTCATGGTACACTCTAAAATTACTTTTAAAGTAATTTACAACAATAAAATAAATACATACTGTAAAGAAATCACCCACTTCATTATCATCTGAAAGCATATTTATATTAACACGTTTTAAAATTAAAATCAACATGTGTGAAAATGTCTTCTTCTGCTTTTATGTAACATCAGGTGTCAGTGTGTATAGTAGTTGAGTTGCCACACACACACACACACACACACACACACACACACACACACACACCTGTTCCAGGTCGCATATCCCGTGGCTCCATCGTTTTCATAGTCTCTGCGCTTCTTCGGCGTCTTCGCTTTGAGTCTGGCCTTCCCGTTTTCTTTAGCCTCATTCTTTCTTGCCATCGTTCGCACGGCCCTCCGCGGGGCACAGCGAGAAATGGTTCAGCGCGACGGGTGAAACAGTTCAGTTCACAGTGCAAAACCAACCACAAGTCCCCCCCCCCAAGTTAAGCTAAATTAAGCTAGCTCGTGAACGTTAGCCAACGCGACCAGAGCCGTTAATTGCGTTCATTTTAACGGTGCGGTCCATTGGCTTAAACGCGTGTTCGGGACGTTGCAGTAACACGGGAGTTTGCTGTGTTGTTGGCTCGCCACTTGTAATGCCAAGAAAAGACGAGCTAACGTTATGTATCGTAAAAATACAAACTTCTTTGGCAGTTCCCTTCAACCTTCACAGAGACGCACAGTGGAAACCTCGGGTGACCCGGATTCCTTTCGCTTGCAGTTCCTGAGTTGAATTGAGCGCGCCTCGGTGACCAGCTGCATCCTGATTGGCTGAGGGACTTCCGGGAGTTGACACATGAGCGTGATTTCGGGGGTGTTACGTCGTATTCTGTGACCCGTTCTTTCATGTCTGTCGTTGGAGTCCGTTTTCCCCTTTGGCGTTAGTTAACGCTGAAATTAACTATTAATCATTTTTGATTGGTCAGGTAATAATGGTTTTTAGGCCTACCTACATATTAATGTCACGTTTTAAAAGATTAATAAGAGTAATAATTGGAATGGTCTTGAATGGATGAGGTACAATTTATACTATAGATTGTTTTCCCTTACAGTGTCCTTTTATTGTTTATAAAGTGGCAGAAAGATCATATACATAAAAAGGGACAAAGACATTTGTCACCTTAGTTTGGCTCCTGATTAAATCCTATTTACTCCAGTTATAAGGTTTACATTACGGTAGCACATTCTACAGCTAATTGTTCTCGTATTCTCCGCAGTATTTTTTTTGTCTTACTATGGGTCTTTAATGGATCATTCTGAAACAATTTAGCAATTGTTGTTATCTTTGGAAAATTTTATTCCTACCATAATTGTGTTCTTGTCTGAGGGAAAAATCAGCATAAGACTATTACAAAATGTGTCATTATAAAAAAATATTTCAGCTTCTTGACTTAATCTATGAGGATAAAATATATTTAGCAACAAAATAATTTATTATATATTCCTTCACTTGACAAAAAAAAAGAAATACAACAAAATATCAAAATAGGTCACTGCACCTAACAAATACAGTTTTAATATCTTTATACTTTATTCTTATAAAAAATCTTAAGTGGATGACATTATTAAGTGGTTAATATACCCAAAGTATGTCAAAAAGGAAGCAATCAACCTTTTTCAAACATAAAATGCTTGATGTTTTCACCCGGACGATGGATTCCAACAGAGAAGAAGGCTGTGACTAGGTAGTTTCCTAAATGGTAGTCTGATGCTGAACCTAATCACAACTAAGGTTACATTAACGTAGCAAAGCTTTAAAAAAGTAAAATAAGTTATTGCATGCTGCTGGTTAAACAACCGTTTACTCTATTCTCATTCAAATACATAGTAAACTAGTCACTATTAGCTAGTGAAACACACTGGCAGTTATTAGAGGACCTGAATTATTACATGTTTTATTTTCCCTCTTTTATGTTCAAAAGTGAAGTAATGAAGACGGCCTACTGGGTTTCAATTGTGGCAGCTGCCATATCAAAATATGATTTGGAGTCTCGTGACAATGAGAACATAATACTGGATTGGAAAATCACAAGACATTGTTGACAAGCTACTTACGTGATTCAAGAATAGACCTTTCTTTCCAAGAAGTAAAGTCTTATTCATCTTTGAAGCAGACTCTCACATAACGGCTACTAATTATTTGAAAGAAATCAGCAACATTCCATTATCGATCCGCTTCTTATTGTTACTCTTCATACCGGATTAAACAGCTGTGGTTTGTGGGAAAAGTATTTCAAAAAGGCTGTCATTTATATTTCAATATTATGACCAAGTTGTCATTTGCTGTGTAATTTGGAGGTTCCTGATCTTGTAATAAAACACGTCAAAATAAACAGAAAAACAAACAATGATTTATGGAGTATTTTATTGATGTACTGAGTCTGGGTGTGATTTTTAAATATATTGCATACACACATAGTCTTTTACCATCAACACAGTGTTTTTAGTATGAGAATTTTTTTTTTAAATATACATTCATTTACTGAAGGCACACGATGTATAAAAACCTACAAAACATCGAAACATATTTATATTTAATTTGTTACATTGATAAAAGTCATGCAGCAAATTAGTAACTACTATAAGGCTTTACAAAATGCGATGTCCCAGATATGCAGTCATTTCCATTCACACGAGGGAGCCTTTTTATGTTTTATACTGGCTGCGATGAACCTTCTTTGGGTTCACGACATGCTGCACTGTCTCTTTAAGAGACCCGGAAACGGTTCCCCGCCGTGTGATCGCGAGTCGCGTGTCCGGTGCACGTAGCTGATCATGCTATCCCTCCCCGCCAACTGGGCTTTCCGAGGCGGTGTGCGGTGCTGGCGACACCGGGCTGTGCTCAGAGGGGCTCTGAAGGCCCCGGACGTCAACGGTGTCTGTCGGTACTCGACCCCAATTCGTGGCGGTGTCGCGGGCATGGAGGACATACTGGCCAGGGTCGTTGCACCTTTGCCCACGTACGAGACGAGAGACAAGTACCCGCCTCCCCCCGAATCCAACAGCCTGGAGTTCATGCACTTCTACGCGGGTCTCGAAAAGGAGGAGAAACTCGGCTTCTTGACGAAGCTGTCGCACGACTTCGGAGTGGACCACAAAGGCATCTCCGAGCTCGCCTTGAGGCTTTTGGACGCTCAGCTACGAGACTTGGCGACCATTCTGCAAGTGGAAGACCGGCTGCGATATGGCCTGACACCCCGTTATAAGCAGCTGCTCAACCATATAAGCAGGGTCGAAGGTGGCGTGAAGTTTCTGGTGGATCTCCGAGCTGATGTGCTGGAAATGATCTCATCCAAAGCTAGCGAGACCCCGCAAATAAGGGTAATTGATTTGTTTACAATATCTACGGATGCCCGCGTGTGCCAAAGCAGCGGCGTTCGCGTTTGGAGGTTTGGCATGGCTAGCCTGAAAACAGCTGACCCTCAATGTTCCAGTTATTTAAAAGATGATATCTGTGCTATATTTAACAGCGAGCTGAGTATAGCTGCTTACACAACTCATGCCTCACTGACGCACTTGTTCTTATCAAGTGGCTCACGTTTCCTCCCAACTTGTCGCAACGACCTTTGCTCCAGATTTCCCTCCTAATCGAACTTTTGGTGCAAAATGTGTTTTTTTTTCCTCCATTGATTTGGGTGCTTTTACAAATAGACAACACGAAGCTTTAGAGCCAAATTGCAGGGCTTCCTTTTATTTATTTTGCACTGTATCCACTTACTGGAATGCTCGTTGGAAAAAAATATATACTCTTATACCAGTTTCATTGCATCACGCAGCCATGGTTCACATCCATTTCTTACCCATTATATCACAAAGCTACCCTCATTTCTTCAGTCATTCATTTTCACTCATTATTTTCAGTTCAGAACTTGTGTAGGAGGTTTAATGCACACATTGGACTTGGAGTGGAATATTTTTCACATGGCTTGTTGTCATAACTCTGTGCTCTTTGGTGCAGTTTTGTTTGAGAATATAAATGAACTCCAGGGGTTAATCTCATCTAAGACCTGCTGTAATTTACTTATTTTTTGCTTTTTACATTTAGGACGTTTTTTGTTTTTTTTTATAATCAAAGAAAAATCTGGCTTCATTTTTACCTGTTTTTTTCTGTGATATTGAGTTTCCTACATGAAGGATGCTTTGGTTTTGTAATTGGAAAACACAATTTAGCAGCTTAATTCCCCGCTGGAGAATACTCCGGGTCCTTTTTAAAGCAAGCTCAGTGATCACCATGAGAGGGGCCGTCTTTGGCTACTGATTGAAGTGAAAAAACCCTTCCCCATTTGAGATACATTTTTTGAATGTTTTGTTGGCCTTCACCATAGAGCTTTATATTATTTTGAAAGACCCTGCCTGCACCATAGCCGACGGACTTCTGGCTTTGTCTCCGACTCAATACTTATTTTCCCGCTGAGCTGTGGTTCAGAAGCATTTAATGTTAATATACGAGACCTACTGAGACCTTTTGTAGCTTTGAAAAGGTCTAAGCTACCTACAGTGTACTGAGTGCCCGGCCACCTTGGTCTTAGGGGTGCACAGCAATCATTTCTTCTCATGGCCAGAATTGATTGGGCTAAGAGGAGAAAAAGGTTGTGGTAAATCTAAAGCTTTTAGTACATGTATTGATACTAAGTGCATTCCAGGGGAGAGCACTTGCTGTCCATAATGGATCGGATAATCCTAGTGCCACAAAAACATGGCGGAGGGGTTATATAATTTCTGAAATATTTCTGATGTTTCTTCTTATATATAAATATAATTTCATTTAACATGGTTATTTATAATTATTTGAATTCAAAGACCTTTTCTTATTAATGTCCCTGACAACAGAACGCGCATACTTGGGCCCAAACTAACGTTGCCCCTGGGTGAGTCTATTTAAGGATGCTGATTGGCTAAAAATTGTTTATTTGATCAGCAATTGGTGCAAAGTGCTCCTTAGACCTGCCTGAAGACGGGACGTGCGACGACGGGCAATTGGCCAGCCGTCACTTGTTCATCTTTCCACAAACAGCGGATGAAAGATGTGAATAAAAGTCCGGTGCATCGTTTTGGATTCCACACAGCTTAAGTGAGGCTATTCTTTTTTTTTTTTTGGCCTGACAAGTGGCACGCAGCCTACTGGAGGACAAGTATTGGCGCGCTGTGAGTTTGACCTGTAAGCCCTTTGGCTTATAACTGCGGCTCGCTGCATTTCTGCTGCCCCACTGCCAAAAGAACGCAGACTCTTTCTAATGGAGTGCAGGATCAGTCTTTTCCCTTCTGTTTGGTTTTCCGTTTCTGTCCTAACCTCAGGCTTTTTGATTCGAGACCCGTACACGTCAGAAGACTACGTCTTCCGCTAGGTCAATGAAATACACATCTCGGTCGGGCCTTTCTTCTGAGTGGGAGAGAATTGGCCAGCGGCTGCACTCTCGTGGGTTGTTTATCCGCCGCGTTTTCCCACAGAAATGCGCCGCTGGGATTACTGGCTGTTTTTCATAGATTATTTCACTTCTGGCAGTTTGTGAGGTAAAAAAGGAACTCCGATACACACATATTCACAACAAGCAGCAATGTGTCTCAAACTTTTGATTGGCTCCTTGCAGTTTTCCAGCGGGAGACCTGTGAACCACAGAGCTGCATAATGCAGTGTTTAATGCGTGTATGTGGGGAATACTTTGATAGTGGCTCGCAGAGGATCGCAGCCAGTGGCTTTTACACCATGACGGTAATGGAGCTTGATTATATTAGCCATTGTTATGACTGACAAGCTGTTATTAAAGGGATGGAAGGAATCTGCCAATATAAGCTGTATTTATGTGCCTGAGTGTGTTTGCTTGGCTGCGGCACGTCCGCTTGTTTGTGTGTTTGCAAGAGATTTGCTTTAAATGAAGTCTGACCTTCGCGGGACGACGGGCCTGCTTTGAAATGGCAAGTTGTTTATTGGAGTGCCTCGTCTCTACCCGTCGCAAGCTCAAAAATAGCACCACTCATGATGTTAAAACGTCCTAACCGCTTACAAGCGTCTACAGGGCCGTACGCCTCAACACACTGTGAATGAAAGCGGCCTGGAATTGTTTACAGCCAACAGACAAACTCGAGCGAGCTGGAAGCCAGTCAATAAAGTTCTCTCAATAAAAATGTCTAAGGCCCGTGAGGACTGTTCATCCACCGCTTTTTATCGTCCTGTAAAAGTTGTAATTTTTAATGAAAACACTTCTGGTGTCTCTCCTTCACGAAATATACAGGAATAACCCCCCAAAAATCCCCCATAGCAAAGTAAAAGCTAATGTAGTGGAGAGCATAATGTTCCTTTCCACATGAATCAGATTATTGTTTTATTTTACCAATGTACCATTCAGCTTTCATTTTCCTGAAGGACAGGCGCCTGCGCTGCCCATCAAAGGAAGGAACGTGGTGAATATTCAATAATCCTCCCTGGTTGTGGATGTAAACTCAACTTTTTTTTTTTCTTTTTCCTCCGCCAGGACCTGAACGGCACACTGAAGAGCCTTCTGTCCGAGTGGTTCTCTGTGGGTCTGCTTCGACTGGAGAGGATCACCTGGCAGTCTCCCTGTGACATCCTACAGAGGATCAGCCAGTAAGCAGCTTTCCCCTCCTTCTGTTATCACAGTCTCTTGAGTCATACAGTTGTGCAGCAATGCAAAACCCCGCCCTCTGAACACAGATTCTCCAATCACAGCTCAACAAACATAGTTAGAGCGCTGCTGGGATACTGTTTTTTTTGGTTGTAGGTACAGGCAGGGTTTTCTAATATTAAACATGGACAAAATGTGAGATCCAACTCCTATCACAGCCATAAAGGGCACATTCAAGTCACACCAGCTGGAAACGTCATAAAGTCAGTTTCTCTATGAGCCAAAAATGACAAATAATTTCAAGTGCCCCCGATATCGCTGTCAAGTGCACATGTATCGCACACAACGGAGAGCTTGGCAGGTGTAGCGACAGAAGCTGAGAAGGGCAGGACTTGGTGAATAACCCTCAGCCCCCCCCCTCCCCCCCCCACCAGGTACGAGGCCGTGCACCCTGTAAGGAACTGGACGGACCTGAAGCGCAGGGTTGGGCCGTACCGCCGCTGCTACGCCTTCACCCATGCCGCCATGCCGGGGGAACCCCTGGTTGTGCTACACGTGGCCCTCACTGAAGACATCTCTGATAACATCCAGGTGAGAATGGATAGCTACAGGCTGTGGTAATAGTTTGTCTCTCACAACACACCAGCGGAGGGGGGGTAGTTAAGCATCTGGGATTACATTGTCCCCCTTCTCAGCTGACAAATGGATTTGTGCTTGTGTGAAAAAAACAATACTGAGACCTTTAAACCGGCACATCCCTCTGGGCGCGCTGCCGACTTCCTTCACTTGGTATTTACAGCGTGGAAACGGCCCTTTTGACAACAGTGCATGGTGTGAGATACAGCAACGCCATCCTCCGCTGCAGGAGAGCCCTGCATTGATGGCAGCTATCTAGCCACAGTGAGAACGTGCTTCTGTCTGGGTGATGCACAGGTCGTCGGTGGGGGGAGAAAAAAAAAATATAATTTCTTTCCTCAGAGTATCGTCCGTGAGTTCGCAACTCTCGACTCCGAGGAGGACGTGAATAAGATCAACGCCGCCATCTTCTACTCCATCTCCTCCACACAAGCTGGCCTTCAAGGGGTGGAGCTCGGCAACTACCTCATCAAGAGGGTGGTCCGAGAACTACAGGTGAGTGCGAGTGGGCGTGGGATGGAGAGCGGGACAACGGTCAGTGAGAAGAGCTGAAGCCGCGGAACTACGATTGGATGTTGCGGCACTTTATTAAAACAAAAAGTTTATATATATATATATATATATATATACACACACACACACACGTACAGGGCTTTCGTCACTCGATGGGTGGCAAGGAAATCTCGTCCATGAGCCCTTAATGCTGCAGCAAGCTCTTGTTAAACGATTGGATGATTGAAAGGACCGTTGGAAACCGATGTAATGGATGGAAAGTAGCTCTTAACGGCGTACAAAAAAAACAAAAACACGTTTCAATGCTTTAAGCATCGCGCGCTTTAGTTTTTCAAACAGCTGTTTTGATTGAGCTTTTTTTTTTTTTCCTCGTCGCCATTTATATTAATGGCACAAATACGTTCCAGTGAGCTCAACAGATTTTGCATTTTCTGCTTCAGCATTTGCTGTTTGTGTCGGAGAGCAAAGTAGACTCACTACCCGATGAGGCCATATTCATTTTTTTTCTGAGGCTGTCTGCTTTTTTATTAATGTTTATGTTGAAATCAAGCTCGTAACCTCATCAAATTGCATCTGCAAAAAAAGTATTTTTCTGTATAGAATGTGTAGCTTCTGTTACTAAAGCGCTGGAATGTTGAAAGAATGAAGGAATTATATTAGATAGAAGATATTGGTTCATCAAAGTTCATTTATTTTTATTAGCCAATGAAAAAATCAATTTGTCAATATAGCTGCTTAACTAGCTAGCTTTCTTTTGGTAGATAAAAAGAAAAATCATCCTACAGAATAAGACGTGTTAACATTTTAAAGCAGATGATTCTGGTTGTAATATGTCGCTACTAACACGCATAAAAAAAAAAAACTGCAGAGAACCTGAACTTTTCGATCCTCCATTCCTTTTTCTGGACACTTTTATCCAAAGCCCTCCACCACTGTTATTACTTTTTCATGGCGCGAGTGGGAGACGATCACTCGACCCCATCAGTGGAAGTGCATCGCTCGAGACTCGACAACACAAATTTGCAAACTTGTACTGTGCAGAGGGCTTAGCTTTCTGACAGGGTTTTATGTAAAAGGGAAGAGAAAGAGTGGCGGAGACACACCGGGACCACTGTGCTGATGGATAGATGATAGAGTGGAAAAAGAAAAGGTCAAGGCGGCGGGACGGGGGGGGGGGGTCGGTCGGTCTTGTCTTTATCGATTGGCCCCCAGAGCACATGTCCGGCGCTGCGGTTTCTCCCTTTTTCTCTCTTACTTTTCTTATCACCTCTTTCCTTATTTCCAACTACCCGTCTTTTCCATCCTCCTCATCCCGTTGTGAGCACCCATTAGTTAAAAGTAGAAGCTCCCGATACAAGAATACATGTAAGTGAGAGGACCAATTCAAAAGGAAGATCAAAAGGAGACTATGTCGCGAAGCAGCGCAGCTCTGCAGGGGGTGTCTGACACTTTTATCTGCAGCGACTTTCACCCCTCTGCCGTCCACATCAATCCGTCACTTATATACCCAGAGACCGGAGTGCAAAGATGGACAGTACAAAAAAAAAAAAAAAGCGGGTTTTGGTGGGAGGAGAGTGTGGGGGGGCGGAGACCTGGGGGAGAGGCGAGTGAGTGGAAGAGGACAGGTATTGAAGGTGAGCGGATAGATATTAAAGAGAAGAGAGCACGGCACCGATGAGGAGGAGAACAGGAGGGAGGGAGGGAGGAGGCCATCCATCTCCATCAGCAGGGCAATGGAGTGGATTTGTAATGTACTGCGTGTCTGAGGAGCTGAAGGCCGGAGCTGCAGGCCGAGCGCAAATAAAAAATAAAAAAAATGTGTTTTTGATACCGAGGTTGAGGGTTCGTCTCGCTTATTTCCACCTTTACAAAGCTGGTTCCCCTGTGAGTGAAGATCAAATCGCTTCTTTCCCTTCTGGTTTCTTCTCGCTGAGCTTTTTGAGGCGGCTCTGCATTTAAGTGCCTACGCAGGCATGCAAAGGATTCTGCGATTTCCTTTTTTAAAGTTTAGATATTTTCATGCTACCATGGGATAATCTGCAAAGCATCCAACATCTTAGGAGAGATCACAAATGAAAAACTGTTCCAATTGGCTCTACAATGACTAAAGACCAGGAGAAAAGTATCAAACCCTGAATCACACCGAGTTAATCAATGAAGGGACGATCTTGCTACTGATCTCAGAAATGCGCTCGCACCTAATGCAACAATTACATATTTGCACAGCATTTAGACCTATTAAACACGCGTGTTATTTTGATTTTTGATTTTGATGGATACGATTCGGCTCCCTTCTTCTTTGGGGACAACTAAACACCTTTTTAAAAGAGTGCGTCATGCCTGCAGTGGTCAACGTTTTTATTGCCCCCGGCGAGCTCCCAAAATCACCACCAACATCAAACCAGAAATGTCCGAGAACACACTCGCCCAGTTAATGAATACTCACCCTGAAGCGCTGCCCCTCTTCGTGTCTTCCAGAGCGAGTTCCCTCACATGGCCCAGTTCTCCAGCCTGTCTCCGATCCCGGGCTTCTCCTCCTGGCTCCAAGGTCTGCTCGGCCAGTGCAAGAAGGAAGGCCGGGGCTCCGACCTCCTGTCCGAGCAGGAGTGGGAGCAGGTGGAACAGGCCGTCGACTCGGCCCCGGGGCCTGCGGCCATCGAGGCCCTCCGCAAGCTCATCGCCACCGGCGAGTGGACGCGCTCCGAGCGCCTGACCCGCGTCCTGGAGCCCGTCCTGATGCGCCTGTGTGCCTGGTACCTGTACGGGGAGAAGAGGCGCGGCTACGCTCTCAACCCGGTGGCCAACTTCCACCTGCAGAACGGCGCCACCATGTGGCGGCTCAACTGGAGCGCCGACACCAGCCCCAGGGGCGTGGCAAACTCCTGCGGCATCATGGTGAACTATCGCTACTTCCTGAACGAGACGTCCAAAAACAGCGCCCTCTACCTGCAGAACAAGGTCATCAGTGCGTCGGAGCAGCTGGTGGGGCTGGTGTCCCAGTTTCAGAAGAGCAGCAAACTTTGACGATGGAGACGAATACAAAAATGGGTGCGGTTGGTTGGCGCGTGATAGCATTCGTACGCCAACTGGCCGACTTAATAATATAGTATTTGACGAAGACACCGCTCAATGGATGTCCGCCGGTATTGTTTTTTTAATTGAAATTAGCCCATTGCTCACATGACGCGTCTGTGTGCAGTGAAAAGGTTCGTGTTGAATGTGTTTGATATTGTGTAAGTGCCTCTCAGGCTGAGGGAGACTGTGGCTAATGAAGCACGAGGCTTCTATCAATGCTTTTCCATGCTCTTGGATAACTGTGTGTGTGTAATGGTGAAGCAGGAGCAATGAGGGAGTGCAGCTACTGGAATAAATGATGTTTAGAGTCTTTAATTTGTCTGAACTGTCTCACTGCAAATATGTTGATGAATGGGCGATTGTCTTTTTTTTTTTTTTCCCTAGGGGACTGTTTTTAAATTGGGTTAATCATTCTCACTAAAGCGTACTACACCAAGTACATTGGATCAAAAAGTTAGAATTATTTTATTGGACATAACTCTAAAAAAAATGGATTTCTTTTTGTCGATTGTGCTCCTGCTGATTTACTGGACTAAAACCTCCTGCTGCATCATTCGTGTGATTTTTCTTTTTTGAATATTCTGTTCACACACCAAATCATCTCCAGAAAGCCATTGTAGATGTTCAAACTGCTCGATGCAGGTGCCAAGCAGGGCTCATACCAGCCCACTCTATTGTTAATAATATATCACAGCAAGTTCACTGTGAAATTACATTTTATCTCTCCAAGGAGAAAAACTTTTTCGTTTTTGTCACACCATCTGTAGCCGCCCACCCAGTCTCACCCCTGTTCTCTCTCTCTCATTGTGCAACTCTGTGTCTTAGAAACTAATGGAGTGGGAAATAAAGTAGTAGTAAACGGTTAGATTGATGATGTTCAGTTGTCAGGGAAGGGGGGGTACAGAGGGGACAGTTGTTTAAAGGTGCCCTTGATAGATGGTGTGAGTGTCTGCGGAGATATTGGAGACATTAATAGAAGCATACGCCTGCATGTGCGCGGAGACACAGAGGAGAGCGGCACAGTCACGCCGCCTGCCAGTGGATTGCGGCGTACGTTTATATGGGTTGCCAGGGAAACGACAATGACATATTTCACGCTCGCTGCTGTTTTTTTTTTTTTTTTTTGAGGAATCGTTTCCTAGAAACAACCAAATGCTTAGTGACGGCCGAGCGGTGTGGGTTACAAGTCCAGCGGCTTTTTAAAATGACATTTTTTTTCCAAATGTATCATACAGTGAAAGTAATTACTTTTCAGTCAGTCGGGTGTTTCCCATCGGAAGACAAACGGCTCACAGACTTGAGATTCATGGACACGTTGGGCTTCTCTAAATGAAATAATCACAGCCCCTTTCAGTTAATGCTTAAGAGGACGTTCCACTTTTCACGCGTTAAATGGAGTTAATTTGGAAATGGCTTTTCAAATGAATGGAATCTGAACAATTACTTAAAATTGTGACCTGTCCTCGAATGGCAGTGAAGTTGGGTAGACACGTCCGAGCCTTTTGTAGACAAATGTCCCGGCACGTAATCTGATCACTGACAGTAGTCATATGGGCTCAGTGTGTGCTTCAGAACAGGCTTCGGCTGTATCTAATCAGATTGCAGTTTTGTCCCATTTCCAACCCGGCACATGTTAATAATGGATTCACATCCAAGTTCAATATTGTACTGCTCCGTTGTCAGACAAAGTCTTGGCAATACTTTCCAAAAAGCAGCATAAGACCTGATTACAATTGATTAGAAAGTGTCTGCTGTGAAAATTCAAGCCTCAGCTAAAAATAATTCAGTAATTTAGACAATCCAATTTTTTTTTTAAGATGAGTCCATGTGTGCGTGGCCGTGGTGTATTTCATTTCTTATCCCTCATTTGTAGGAAATTGCCTTACAAATTAAGCTAATCCATTTTTTACAGATCACAGTGGCAAGAAAAGTCAGAGTGGTGCTTTCATTTTCTAATTTATTCTGATCAGATTTGAGGTATAAAACCCTTTTTTCTTCATTACACAGCAATTTTAAAGCACAACTATATAATCAGTTTATAACCCTGATAAACTAAATGTTCATAATATGTGAGAACGTTGTCAATAAAACCAAAAACAATAATTACAATTACAACAGTTATTTCAATTGATTTGGAATACTGTCATGATTTTTGTTTGGAAAATTATTTCTATACAAAATCTGTGGCGTTTCTCCCAAATGACCTGCTTAAATGTTTTAACTTGTAAAGCGAATAAATAATCAGCACTGCTACTGAACCCAAGAAAACCCCTTCCAGCATCTCCTGTGATCGCTGTGCCACCGGAGAAAACAATTGTGCCACATCAGATTCATTTGATTACAGGTGTCCTCAAAGGCAATAATGTCACAAAGCACAACACAAGAATGAAATTACTTTTTTGACATGCAAACATTAAGGAAAACCTCTCACCGAACCTTCCAAGTGTGCTGAACAGTCTTGGAAATATCAAAGTTGTGACCTCTTATAAAAAAAAACTTACAAATTACAACTTACTTAACTTACAAATGATTCCTTTGACATCAACAGCTCCCCCAAGCTTCATAAAAAAGAGCTAAAGCCTGGGGAAACACCTTTGTTATTGTTACGTAGTATTTAACACTCAAAAATCTGTTTCATCAGGACTATTAGGACTAGTTTAAAACAGATCTGTCATGACAGCTGTCATCATATTTTAACTTGAATGTTGCTCAATTCTGATTGATTGTGATCAAAAGTATGTGATGAAAAGTATGTGACATCACCTTTTCCCCACCAGAGGCCGGCCCACTCGGAAACAAAAAGCGCTCTGAGCGAAGTCCCTTATGTGTAACACCAAAGACGACTTTGGCAGAAGGTTTTAGGATCCAATCCCTCACAGACAACAGATTATTGAAATGAGATTTCTGGTTGAACGTTAATAAATGATTACACACGCAAGCGTGCGTATTCAAGCACAGAAGAGTGCAACAGCATGTGGAGCTCTACAAAGTGCATTAACAACCTTGAAGATGTTGATCATCCAGGTCCATGTGCTTTTATCCAGTGAACAGAATGCATTAACAAGTTGCCAAGTATTTAGTAGCCAAATCTGATAGATCTAGTAAACCTTGGCCATTTCAACATTACTGTGTTCTACCCAAGGTGTACCCCATCTCTCGCCCGAAGTTGGCTGGGATAGACTCCAGCCCCCCCGCGACCCTGTGTGCAGGATAAGCGGTTTGATGATGGATGGATGGATGGATGGATGGATGGATGTGTTCTACATTTTAAAGCTGTTATCAGTTTAAATGTTTGAAGTTCGCTGACTCGTCTGTGTGTAAAAAAACAGACGTGTGATTTTGATTATCTGACCTTTATAAGGCTCGATACGAGTTTGGGAGCATTGCTATCGCCTCACATCGCCTCTGAACATGTTTACGGCAAGGCAGTGGCTAATGGTGCTTAGAGCTAAAGGTGCTAACAGCTAATGGTGCTATCAGCTAATGGTGCTAACTATGTCAAAAGTGCGCACGGACCAAACAATGCTCACTCGTTAGCCGGGACGACATTATCGGTTGCTTGGACGACACAGGCATGCCAACACACACACACACACACACACACATACACACACACACACTTATGCTCTGCTAATTGGATGTTAAATGCTGCTCCTTTAACGGACTACTGACCAACTGACCTTTCAGTGAAGTCAAGTCAGGAAAGTGTGCCGTGTGCGTTGTTATTATGAAAGAGTCAGTATGTGACTCAGAGAGCGGCTCACTTTGTATTTTCTCTTTGGCCATTAGCTCACAGTGAAGGATGCGTCGGCTTAAATTTCATAGGGTGTGGCACACTTTCTCCTGACATTTGGGGGAAATAAATCCATCCAGCTTCTTTGGCTTGAGTAATTTTTTAAGATGAGGACATTTTCTAAATGTCATGGTGTGGTCTATTCAGAGCGGCGGGTAAGTGATGATGTGTGGAAAGTGGGATTTTCTGTTGAAACTGAAGGGAGAGGGGAAAAAAAAACAGGTTTTACCTGCAAGCCATGGACTTCTCTTTGCACGTGTGTGTGTTTGTTTGTGTGTGTGATGAGTGAGCGCACAATTCATCCAAGTGTGTTAATCCGCTCTGGTTGCTGTCGCCGGCCCTCCTTCATGCTTCTCACTTCAGATCACCACCATTCTCCACCTTCTCCACCCATTGGTAACCCGGCCCTGCCCCCCACAGCTCATCCAATACCTTGGCCTGTCTTCAAAGGGCTTCACGGTTTTACAAGCAATCAGGACACACACACACACGCACGTTCCAAATGCGAATAGCCACACACTCCTGCAGGTACACACGCAGCCTTTCGAATCGGCCCACATGGTGCAAGATGTAACCTTTAGAGGGCAGCAGAGTTTCACTCGGGGTGAATTGGCACATACGGTAGTTGCAAGGATGATTCCCTAATGTGGTCGCTGGACACGCATACACAAAACACAACACATTCGTTGCCTTTCTTAATTCCCACACCTCTCTTTCTCTCTTCTGACATTCCTTCTGTTATTGCTGTCATTCCTTTCAGCTCACCCCACCCAATGCGTCGCGGTTGAGGAGGGAGTTGGAGATTGACAGATCTGCTATATCTGGTTATATGCTGTAATTGAAACTAATTTGTCTTGCTGATGACATTTTCCGCACACTCCTTCAGCCATTGCAATCAGCCGGTATTAGCTGACCCGACGTCTTGTATCAGAATAGGTTATTGAATGAAAAGGAGGTAAACAGGCTTAGCAACGGTGGCATCACCCGAGGGGGAAAGCCACTGCAGGCATTATACAGCTGCCAGGCTGAAATGAGAGTGTGAAAACCTCTCTGTCCCTGTCACTTTCTCTCTCATACACAAACATGAATGCTTGCATTCATGCACACACACACACAAACTGTGCCTTAATTCTAACATTTCCCTGGATCAGTGAGAAATTTGCAAGACATTGAAGAGAAGATAAAGAGAGAAATACGTACAAGTTGGCTCTGTGAGTTTAATGATCAGGTAAATAGACAGAGACCCGGAGGTGATGATCACTCACAAAATCACTTTTCCTTTGTCCTTCCTCCTCTTTGTCCTGTTCTGTTGCTCATGCTGGTAAAATAACGTGCCTCCTACTGTGCATGAGTCAAATCGCTCAAACGTTTGAGTCGGGAAACAAAGCAGATGCTCTTACCCACATTGTTTGTACTTGTCATCCTTCCGCAAAGTTTAATTGACAAATTAATTCCTCTGAGTAGAAAGGCTGTAATATTTGCAATTACATTTACACAATGTGACATTCATTGGCCAGTTTTCAATTGTGCAGAAATACTGTCCTTTAAATGATTCCCATTACAGATGAATGCTGTCCCATAATACGACCAAAGCACCAGTTACTTCATGGAAATACTATTTGAGAAACCGATGATGCCACGTGATGAAAAGTCCGGGGATACCGGAGCTATGAGGAATAATCTGTGGAAACAAAATGTACTGGTGGTAATCCATCCAATATACTGTATATCACGACTGTAAATTGTGTACGGATTGACTGAC